CACGCCACTTAGATCGATTTTCGGCTTCTCGCATCCAGCCATTTATTAAATTATAGCGAAGCTTAATGTGAGTTTATTTTAAAAGTTTTATAAATTTTATTCATATAAAATTTTCACTTGATATGTGTACGCTTTAAAAACTAAAATTTCTGCACCGATTGAGCTCAAATTTCGACACGATCTACAAAAATACGCTTCAAACATAGTTTTTATCTATTTTGCAGTCAGTTTTGTTCTTAATTTCTCATCAATGCAACCATAATGTGCTACAGCGAAGCGTGACAGGGTACAGTTAGTAATATAAAAAATAATCCAATTCAAAACTTATGACAGAAGTCTCTGGAAACATTTAGTAGGGGATACTTAATAAAATACACACAACAACACATATTTGTGAACTAACAATTAGTGATCCACATTCATGGTCATCTATAGTGAGAATGTCCCATATTAGAATCATTACATATACTTATAGGTGATAATAAAAGTAAAGCTCATGAAATTATGAGCCAATATTAACTAAACTTTCATTAATTTCATGAAGGCCATTTTATCTATAAATAAGTAATTTGGTAGAATAATGATGTGGTTTTCTTAAGCCTTAAGGTAACCAACTATTGTAAACAAGAATTGTGGTAGACACGCAGTGTATTTTGTAACATAACATTTTTTTTTTATTATTTTCACTATAAATGTTAGAATTGAAGCAATCATAGCTGGGTACTGTCATATAATATTATTAGCTATTGTCCGCGGCCCCGCCCGCGTAGATGTCGGATATCACTGTAAAAATTACCCTATATCCTTTCCCGGGACTCGGACTGTCTCTATAAGCGGCTATATCTCTTTAAGCGCCTTAAGCGCGAAGAGGTAACAGACTGACAGACACAAGGACACATTTTCGCATTTATGAAATTAGTATGGATTTAAAAACCAGAACGACAGCGTTAGGTTCCTTCCTTTTTAGAACAGGTTAGAATAATCTTTCCGTTTGGAGACGAAGAATACGCAGTGTCACCTACGCAGGATAACAGCACTCCATAAAGAAGGAAAACTAGAAATAAATCCTGTACCAAAACCGCCTGGAAAACGTGGTATAGTAGACCAAAATCTCCTTTCTAAGAAGAGGTCAATGTTCAGTCAGTGGACTACTAAAGATGATAATTAGAATAATCAGGGTTCAAAGGTTTTTCTTCTGGGTAAATGCGATATAATGTCTCAATTGTGATCTTTCAGCCTTTTCGGTCGCTCGTCATGATGTACCTAGCTAGTTCTGTAAATGACACGTGCTGACAAATTACTGCTGGCAGATTACAGCGATAAAATGAACTTTAACTAAGATTATATGTATTCATTGCTTATAACGTCAAGATTATTTTTTGTTAATAGAAAGTACAATTGAAAGAAGACTTTATAAGACCAGAATTTACAAGTATTATTTTCATTTTATATTTTGAATTAAGCTTCATCATCATCTACAGCCTTTGATAGTCCACTGCTGGACACAGGCCTCTCCTTGATAGGAGGTTTCGGCCGACCATATCACCCTGGCCAGACGGGATCGTATATAACCCTATAGGGTTTGTTTAAAGTTTTCCTTTTCTTTGCAGTGTTGTTGTCCTGCATAGTTTGCTCCCGTAGTCGGCTCTTACGACACCCACTGGATGATTGGGGTGGTGACACTCTTTACTCTTAATCCGTTACCACACGGAATCAATTAAAGCTTAGTGGCAGGGAATAACAAAAAGCAATGGGTGACCCAGTTTTTTTATAAATGATGGTATAAGAGCAGACTCGTCACCTGATGGTAAGTGTCTACCGCCACCCAAGGCTACCTACAACTCAAGAATCACTAGTTTGATGTCGGTCTTTGAGGCGTAGATATGCGCTTAGTACTCTTATTGCTATTAGCTTATCCTAAACACACACAGGCTTCATAAAAAACTTATGACACGACAACAAAAGACTTACAATTTTTTATCTCTACGGGACAGTTCTAAAATTAGTTTTAAGAGTAGTTTGTTGCTTTGATCCAGTTTACTTGTGGCTCGTGGCATCAAATGATATTTTAACAAAACAAAATAGTCGTTTAGAACTTTTGTGACTTGCATGTATTTTAGATATTAGAAAAGAATTTTTTTTATAGGACCACATGTGACAAAGATTCAAACATTAAATGTATTAAGGATTATAGTCGCTGTTTTTCTGAAGCTATGGTAATCCCACCAAGAAAATAATCATAGAAATCCCGGTGTTTTAATCCTCGAAGAAATGAATTTGCATTGCAATCACCAACACAAACGAACACAGGTATTATGTGAAGTGGTTACCAATGCGTTAAATACAAAAGCCGGGCGATAACACACACACGACCTTATGCAAACTTTCCTTTCAAAGATGGCAGTATGAAGTATAAAAGGTAATGGTACAGTATTCCAATAAAAAAAAAACGGATATTGCAGACGCAAAATGTAATAATAGTTGACTTAATGCAATATCTGTCACGCATAATTTGTTGTTATCAAATATATATTTTGGTAAAGATACAATTATTTAAAATTACTCAGAAGAAGCTAAGAGCTAAAGCTGAAGACGAAGCCGAAACTAGTTTTTGTTCTAATGCGCCAGACAGGAATTCAGCATACTACTCCATACTCTAATTAATTCTCTCCACCATCTTTCGTGGATCTTTATAAGTACTGGAGAAATTATAGTTGTCCTTAATCCTGGTGTACAGTTTCATAAGCTTTATTACTAGAATAATAATAAGTAATATATATTAACATATATGTATTTAAAAATATATAAGTCTATTTATCAGCAGTCTGGTTACCGTAGCACAGGCACTGTCTAGTTTGGTTCAGACGGCCGTGTGTGAGATATTATTATTATTAATTAAAAATTTCAAAAGTATTAAAATGAAAAAGCAAACATTCCGAAGCATAAAAATATTTTTATAGCTTTCCAGAAGTTTCTTACGGCACTTCTCTATACTCTTTTGTACCTTCAATGCGGATTTTGAGTCTGATAGTTTTTGGGGTTGAATTAATACCTATCGAGCAATAAATTAAACAGTCAATGGCGGTAATACTTTTTGTTGTAACATTTTTTTTACAATTGCCCAACTCCATATTTGTAATATGTGAGTTATGACTCAACAGTTTTATAACACCCCGGAGATACATTTGAATTATTTTTTTTTGATCAAATTGTTCTACTGTTCCGTTTATTTCTGAACTTATGTCAAACAAATATCTAAGTTACATAAACTTTTACCTCTCTTACTTTTGAAGTAGTTAAAAAAACAGTATATGATAATTTCTATTTTTCTTTATGATAGAGGAAACGAACAGATAAGCCAACTGGTGGTAAGTGACCACCTCCGCTCATACACATCTGCAATGGAAGAGATTTAACTATTTGGTGTTCCCCAGAATTAGTCCTAATGCTTAGCACCAGTTTTCTGTGAGACCGTGGTATAACTAACGTGGAGCCGACCTATTAAGACAAAGCATGGCTTTTTTGGAATAATTAATTAAATTCCGCCATTCTTAATAAGATTAGAATATTGTGACCTGCGAAGCACCACATTAAAATGCTTTGTGGCATGGCAATCTTATTTTAAATACTAATTTGCAATAACTTTTATCTTATATTGTGTTTAACTAATCTTAATGATCAAAGTTTTGCGCACACAGCTCTTAAATATCCTGAAATTCATAAACAATAAACATTTGAGACGCCTCCATTTCGTTGTAAGTTCTGCTGTTTGATGTCAACGGGATTATAGATATCTTTACTCTTCAACTTTAAGCACACATTTAAAGAGAAATTTCAAAGCTTGTTACTTAATATAGCTTACACTTTAATACCTTTACGGTTAAAGTATATTTTCTTCTACGCCTATCTTTAAAAGCTAAATGTAAAATTATATTTTTGCTCGTTTAATCACTACATATTACGTGTTTCTAACTTTGAAAAAAAACGATCTTCTATACAACCGTTCATCCTTTCTTAATGGGTAGTTATAACAACGGGGCTGGGGCTACAGACTTAGAATTTTGGCTACTGATGTGCCAAAATTTTAAGTTTGTAGCCCCAGCGATTCAGGCTCTACGTTGATGAATCAGTTTATCAGTGAGGGCAAGTAATTTTATATATATAGAATAGAACAAAGATATAATTTACAGTAAAATGTGGTAGTAAATCAAGGGTTGTATAGTTCAGCACATTTATAAAATCCAATAGTAACAGTTTTTATTAATTACATCTTATAAGTATGTAGATAGTAAGTCCAGTTACAGGTTAGCGACTCTGTCCTGCTCGAGATACTGATAACATTCCCCAGTTCGTAGTACCCCTTCTGTATAAGCAATATCATTTTCCTATCTTTGCCGTCCATTCACACAATTTTCTCATTTGATCCCTGTATTGCCCGATTGACAACAATAGACTTGCCTCCTATCACATAAGTGGTAATTATAATCGGTAAAATTTGGACTTTTAGTACACCTCCGCGTATTCCTTCGGAGACATAATCGTGAAACAAAACAGACATACACACATCATGTATATAATTTTCTTGTACAACTATGGTACAAAAAAAACAAAATTCGTTTTCAACGGAAGTTTTTAAAGAAAATAGACCAACTTCTGTTAAATTTAAATAAAGTACAAGGTACTAAGGTTTGTCCGTGTGGTGACGGATTAAGAATGCGGAGTGTCACCACCCCTATTCATCTCGTGGGTGTCGTAAGAGCCGACTATGGGAGCAAACTACGCAAGACAACGGCACTGCAAAAAGAAGGAAAACTTAAAACAACCAACCCGTCTGGAAAGCGTGGTATATTAGGCCAAAACCTTCTCCCTGAGGAGAAGCCTATGTCCAGCTGTTGACTGTTAAAGGCTATTGATGATGATTATAATGAAGGTACCAAGTTTCTTAAAAATGGTTACCTATTCAGTTCATATATACTAAGTCACAGATGTTAATACACGATATGCAAGGACCTTGTAAGATACCTGGTTAAAAGAGACGAAAGTTGTTTTAATCATATTTACTAATTACCAAAATAGGGATCAGGTCCAAAGGAAATTGGATCGCTCTGTCATTTCGAGAGATGATGTTGACTATGTCTGTAATAACTACTTGAGTTAAGTTTAAAGGATCTAACATTCGCACGGGTTTTGCAACTTTTGAAACCTAGTATTTCTGAACAGAACAGGTCTCAATTACCTCTGATAACTTGTATATTTGATAGAGTATCGCTATAATAAGAAGCTCTGTAGTTTCTAATCTTTACTTCTTTAAATGCTTAATAAACCAAAAACTCTTTTAAACAGTCTTTAGCTCAATTTTTCTCTCTAAGAAGAACCAGAAGTATTCGGATAATTGGAATAGAAATACAGTGAATAAAATGCATCAATCGAGACTCGAATAAAGTAAATATATTTTTTTTAGTTATAGTAATTAAACACCATATATCTATCCACCTATATATTTTATTTACTTAAAAAGAAATACGTGTGTCTATAAACCATTGCCAAATTATTACATAAAGGAAAATACATTATTATGCAAAATATATCCATATATAAATTGGACTATCCGATTTATTGTAATTAATTTGTCATTATACGTATAGATATAAATATACACTACACATTTTGAAACCTGTTTCGTATATAAAGTTTTACGAAATAAAACTAAAGTCGACGTTTTACCGCTAAAAATATATTTATTTTAAAACAACTAATGTTAAGTTAATATTTTTATTCACAATATATATAAATTTAATATTTTATTAGTTTCGTATAGTTTAATAGTGTTACCAGAAAAAACCAGTTTCATAGCAATTATAGATGTTGGTGATTACTTACCATGATACTTTTGTCAGTAATTTTCATGACACATCTAAGCCTTAAAGAGCTTCACTTTTAAACAAAAATACAAATATTTATGTCTATTTAAGTCATTGAGGCTTACACAATAACACTTATATTTGAAAGAAAAGCCTAAGTTAAAATTAAAAACCACTTACAAAGTCTTTTAATAACTTATATTCTCATTTTTAACTTAAAATCGAACACAAATCACTTAACCTTGAAAGGCGCCTGAAAAAGTGTTCTAAAAAATTAAATAAATATTAAGGTTAATATCATCATACAATTTTGTTGGCTAAAATTGAAATGCAAACTATGTTAGTAGCATTCCGACGATGATTAGGGCGGTGGGCGGGCGCTGCCCGCCCTAGCGCTCAGTATATAAGCTGTCGACAGGGCGGCCGACTGCACAACACCACTTGTTGCCGTCAGTAGTGCCTGCCTGTTGCCGACGTCGCCGCAACAACATCATACGCATCAGGTATGTGGTTTTTGTAATTAATCATTATATGGGTAGGAATTTGCATTACTGAATAATATTTAATCGAAAAAAAATTACGATCAATATTTACAAAAAAAATAGATTAATTAACTAACTAATTAATTAAATTAGAAACTGAATAAACTCGGTCTCTTTATTCACATATACTATATGTAATATTTATATAAAATCTGAGACCAAAATTACATAAATATAAAATGAAGGAAGGCGATAAATAAAAAGTAAATAAAAAAGTGCCTATTTAATATTAATCATTCAATTTTCATCTTCAGTCAAATTCAAATTCAATTCCCACTAGTTAAGATTAAAAGATTATTCGACTAAAAAGTTTTAGCAAATTTATTTTGTTGCACTTTTTACTTTTGCAAAGCTTAAGTGAATTTGACGGGATTTTTATTGTAAAACATACATTTCCTACTTAACACTAAACTTTTATAAATTACAAAATGTATTTTTTCAAAATTATGTAAAGGTTAAAACAGGTATGCATATTAAAGTTTGTGTTCATATATTTAATTGTACATCACAAATAGTTACTACTAAAAAAATACATATTTTGTTAAAACGGACAAATTGAAGAACTCACGATAATTTTATCATACAGCTAAAGAAAATTAAAAAATGCATTCATTTTTTTAATCCAGAAGAAACCTCAGCAACGTCTTTTTAATTAGAATAAATTAAAAAGAAACATTGAGATTATATTCTCCATTACCGTTGAAGAAGTTGTGGAAACGACCTTCTCTATTTTATTTCAGTTCCAGTATTGTTTTATTAAGTATGTCAGTTTTAACTGCTCGACTTTGAGTAGTGAACTAATAAAGTCCGGAACTTAGGAGTTGAAACACTATAAAAAGTTTTCTAATGGTTACAAAAGGCATGCTTGAGCAGTTATTACAGAATTTATGTTCAGAAACTTGCATTCTCTATTTAAAATGAGGAATGCAGTTTCAGAAGGTCATAATTAATGATTAAAAAAATAAATGTGTTTACTCTTCCATTTTTAAATTCTTACTATTTATTTACAAAAATAGCAGTAAATACACTGCATTTTTTTTAACACATCTAATTATAAAAAAATCAACAAATTACATCAAGTTTCAATAATTTTAGTTATTTACGAGTATTAAACAAATTTCCTAGTTGCATTAATCTTTAATAAAAAAATAATAATTTTTAGACGTCGATAAATTCGACTAAGATTGTTTGAACCTCAAGACATATTTTTAATGAACCAAGGGATACAAAAAACTTCCCTTTTGTTTCCTTATTTCTCTTATTGCTTGAAAGAGCATCACTAATATTCGCTAAGTTATTGTTCTACAGAAACAATACTGTACTAAGAATAGGAAAAATAATTACCTGGTTAAAATGAATTTTTAATAATAATATCGTACCGTAATAATATTTAATAATGAAACGTAAAGAGATTGTAAAAATATTACTTGAACTTGAAAAAAATATTTTTCAAGTTCAGGTAATATTTATCTCTTTAAAGTTGTGTAAGACACTTATTTCTAACGTTGTAAATAGTAAATTATTAAAATTGGTCTCATTAAATACAGACTTAAATACAAAGATACGTTTCTCGTTTGTCTTGGAATCGAATTATATTTTGGTTAGAAAGGTGTAATGCCTAGTTGTGTGTAGTTCATTTAGAACTAAAATAATAAATTCTATTAGAAAGTTTTTTTAAGGAAATGTCTAGCTTAATTCTAATTAATTTAATTCTGATTTTAATTTATACTTTAACTCAATTGAAGATGAAAAAAAAAAACAGCAAATAAGTTATCAAAAAAAAGGATCACATTAAATGTACATGTACATTTACAGTTGTATTATAAGTACTACACCTTTATAAATATTATTTTCTTCGAATTTACCCTTCATAAATATTTTATTAGTTTTAATGATTTATCAAACATTTACGTATACCTGTAGAGATATTATTTTACTATATATTTCTAACTCAAAACAAATTCTCAAAAGGATTGAGAAGGTTGAATATTATGTCATACATAGCGGTATGCGTAGACTATACCAATCCCCGTTCTGATTAATTAGAAGCTTGCGGCCTAACAGTTATGATGAAATGAACCTGCCACACCAAATCCACCGCATTGAAAGCCTTCCCGTCACTATCAAAATATAGGTCAACACTTAAAGTATTAAAGTACTTTTAATACTTTAAAACAGGGGTAACTCTATCAGTTATTATAAGTTTATTTCAAGCGCTAGTAGCTTACGAGAGAAAACGATTTTAAAACTTCGCTCTTTGTTTTTACCAGTTTTGAAATAAAGACCAAATTTTTGATAGCTTAGTGCCATATCTATTTTATTGCTAATACGCATCATATATCTAAATAAATTAATATTATTTTATAATATGTTATTTCACATCACACATCATCACATCAACAGCCTTTAATAGTCCACTGCTGGACATAGGCCTCTCCTTAGTTATTTATAATATAGAAATCAAACTAACACAATTTTTTGCTTAAGTAATGATGGATTTAATATTAAAATAATTTAATATCTCTAACAATGATAATTAAATATCAGCTTTTCTTATGAACTTTTTATTAAATAGTTATAAGAATAAAGAAAAGTTTTATTAAAAATCATGGTATTGCTCTCATAGGATACATGGGATGGTTCTTAAGACCTTTTTAATGTACTTAAAGAGATAAATAAATATGGAGAAAACTTACCGATATCAATTCCACTTCTCGACATCAGAAGTCCATGCATGACTTGATGTACTATTTATTAAGGGACAATCACAGACTCAAATTAAAAATACGACCATAAAATAAACTGCTGGAATCATCCAGCAAAATCTGTTTCACCTCTCAATATAGTCATTATCAATTGATGGTAATGAGAACAGATTTTGTAATCGAGACAAATTAGAAATTTGGTAGTTACGTACGAGTATATAAAAGTCGTAAAAATAACTTTGTAATTTTTTTCTTTTCCTTTTAAAAAACAGCTCCCGCATAAGGAATATATCCTGTATCACGGGGGACTTTACAAACAGACATGAAAAGGACTCAAAGAACACCCAGACTCTGAACAATAATTTGTGGCTCACACAAAGTATCGTTCCATGTGGGGATCAGACCCATAACACTCAGCGTAGCGTAATTTAAAAGCGGCGTAATTCTGTTCTAAAATTTCGTAATTAGTAGAAAAGTATTTCAAATTATTTAATCTCTCCTAAAATAAGTACACTTGTTAAAATAGTACTCGTTCCTTTTTTCCTTAAATTTTTTCCTAAAATATTCTACTTCAAGCAGTCTTACTGTACGGTTGTGTAGATTATTAGTACTGTTCTACCCTTCAAATATGGTTATAAAAAAATGTTTTGGTTGCAAAAAGAATATTACCAAGAAGTCTCCTGGTTTGGAATGTAGCAGATGTTCCAAAGTAGTACATGCGAATTCTGAGTGTGCTAAACTGTCCAACAAGCAGTTGAGCACCCTACGTAACTCAAACAGCATTGAGTGGAGTTGTGAGACATGTCTGCTTAATACTTCACGAAGGACGTCATATATCATCCCAGAAGACGACGATGCCGATGAGGACTCCGATTCAGGTACTGTCATTACCCACCAATCTACTCTTGACCACAGGAAGCTCATACAAGACATTAGTCGGGAGCTAAAAAAGACGGTAAAAGAAGAGGTTGGCGCCTTAGAAGCATCTCTTGATTTCTTGAGTGACCAAATCAATACCCTAGAAACTTACATTAAAAATCAGGATAAAAGGATCAAGGACTTGGAAAATAAAACCACAGATTTAAATAACAAAAATAAAAATTTGGAATTACGAGTTGCGATTCTAGAACGAGGAAGAGAACAATATGAACAACGTACACTATCAACATACGTTGAAGTTACTGGGTTACCGGAGGGACCATCCCAGGATACTAATAAAATATTGGGTTCGGTAGCAGCTAAATTGCAGGTAAATGAGCAGGACATCCAGTCAACTCGTCATGTAAACGGGCACAAGGGTAAGCCTGGGTATATACTGGCTGAGATGAAAACAAAGGCTGCACAGGGTCGATGGATTGCTGCTAGCAAAAGTAAACGCCTAACACTCGGATTGATTCTACCTGACACACCAGCGGCTAACAATAAGGTATTTGTACGTGAAGCTCTAACTAAATACATGAAGACGCTTTTTTATACAACTAAACAAAAACTGGGCAGTTCGCACCAATTCATATGGACTAAGGAAGGGAAGGTATGCGCTCGGCAAACAAGCGGCAGCAAGATTCACTACATTCATTCGATCCAGGATATTGAACTGATAGCCAACTACCCACCTACCAGTTCTACGTAAAGGTAAATAATGTGTTGCTCTAATAGGAATGTAAGCTAATCTTCTGTTTCTATTTTCATGGAACCACTAAAGCCTAAAGAAATTAAGAATTGTAACTCCGCTAACTACTTCTTTAAACAACTGCCTTCAAATCATAGTTTGTTTTTCTCATGTTTACACGTTAATATTAGATCTATAATAAAGAACTTCACTAAATTGTTACAAATTATCCATGAATGTTCTTATCCACTGGACATGATTGTGCTTACAGAGGTTGGCATATCCGAGAATATTGTCAGGTTATTTAATATACCTGGCTACAACATGCACTCACAACTACGAATAAATAGAAAAGGTGGCGGTATTATTATTTACACAAAAAAGTATTTAAAATTCACTACAATCCCATATAAAAGCTTAACTTTCGAAAATATAACGGGTATCTTAAAAACAGATAGTCAAGACGTAGTTGTGTGTGCTATTTATAGGCCACCATCTTCATATGCTCGCAAAGGGCTGTTTGTTAAAGAACTTGCTAAATACGTGTCTAACTTCAAATTGCAAAACAATGCACTATTAATCGGCGATATGAATATAGATCTGAAAACCATGTCGTCACATACTGAAGCATACTTAGAAGCACTGAG